ATATATGGTAGAAGCGAAGCTTTTTGTTCGTCCTATTTCCCGCAAACGATTAAACTATGGAACAAGCTTCCGCTAGAGCTTAGGAAAATATATAAGTGTACTCAATTCAACGATGAACTTCTTCGACTTTATAAGATTGCGGGAAAGATGCCATTGGTAAAAGGAATAGATAGAACTGTTGATATTGCTTTTCAACAAATGAGGGTGGACTTCTCAGTCTTAAAAAGTGATTTGTTTCGAAGACATATTGTAACTGGCCATGGAGCTGACCTTTGTCAATGTGGGCAAGTTGAGTCTGTGGAACATTATTTCCTTCATTGTTCCAACTATCGTTTAGCTAGAGTAGAACTATTTAAAAAAATAAAGCAACGTGATCTTCATATTGACATTGATATACAGACACTACTACTGCGAAGAAACTTTGACTTTGACCTCCACAAAGATGTGTACAAAATAGATATGCACCGGATCGAGCTACTCGAAATTCGAGCTACCCGAAATTCGAGCTACCCGAAATTCGAGCTACTCGAAATTCGAGCTACTCGAAACTTCGCCGATCAAGTTTTTGAAAAAATTATTTTAGAGTAGAACTGAAAGGAGCATATCACTAGATGCAGTTTTTGGCGCTGATTACGAATCTCACATTATTATTTTTTAAAAGTAAAATATGTATAAATGTGCCTTCATCACGAACAATCGTATGGTACAACTTTTAATGAAAACAGATCAAGTTTTCACCTTCATGTACGTCATAGAGAAAACTGAATGACCTGTCATACATAGGATCTGTTCTTCCTGATGAAGGAGCAGTTCTACATATTTTACTTTTAAAAACTAAAAAAAATACTCCACTCTAAAATTCCCGTATTCAGATTGCGTCCGACCACTCTAAAAGAATTCTTGTCTGAAATATCAAGAGACAAGAATCTTGTAAGAAATAGGACAAGAAAGTCGACCAGTGCTCCCATGTAATTGTGCTCTTACTGTTTATTTTTTTCACTATATGCAGTGATAGACTGTATACGTCATATTCGAACGATGGGAAAGAAACGAAAACAGTACTTCAATCTATTCTATTGACTCGTTGAGCTGATAAAATAGAAAGAAAAGCCAAACAAGAAATAAAAAACCGTTAAAATATCGACATCAGGACACTCTCTAAGTAATCTCACTTTCTAATAAATTTTCTTATGCATTCATATCGAACGTTTAACCTGTAAAATGGTAACGGTAAAACTGGTTAGACCGATAAAACGGTAACCTTTACCACTGAATACCTAATAACCAAGCAACAACCGCTTTGTATGTTAACTTAATTTTTACAACAGTTAAAGAAAACTTGAACAGACTTCAAAGAAGCATCGATAGATCTCAAGTCACAGCAATAATTTTCCAACTACGTACTTTAAAGCATGAGCTATCAGACAAAACCTAACACTCTGCTGAACAAATCTGTTCAGGGTTAAACGATGAATTCGAAATTAGCGATTCAAACTTGCGGGCTACTTTCAGTCAAGCCACAGAATTTCAATCGCTAAGCTGTATGTAGAGGAATTAACCGTCCAGGAATTCAAAGGAGAAAGAACGTTTTGGGAGTGCCACATAAACCTTCGACTTAGCATGAACTGCATTGATGTGTGAATAATGTTGGCCATTTTCAAATTGCATATCTATGTAAATAAAGTTGACCGTTTTTGCTTCCACAGGGCTAGATGTCACAATCAACTAGATAGCGGTGATATGAGCAAGTAGCTTTATGGGAGTGTAAAACTACATTCATAAACAAGAAACTAATTTTGTAGTTTTAAATTTTCGGATAGCTCGAATTTCGAGAAACTCGAGTTTCGGGTAGCTCGAATTTCGAGTAACTCGAATTTCGGGTAGCTCGAATTTCGAGTAACTCGAATTTCGGGTAGCTCGATTCGAGTTTTCGGGTAACTCGAAGCTCGGTGCATACCTAGTACAAAATAATAACGACTTATATAAGTGAAACAAAAAGATTTTAAAAGCATCACACAGATAAATTCCTATTTTTTCTAACACCATCACCACTTATTCGATTGTACGTGTAACCACCTACTTTCTTTTATTCTTTCTTTATGTGCTTTATGTGATTCTATTTTTAAATTTTTTATATCTTAATTTACATGTTCACGGTGTGCAAAACATCATGTACGACAACTCTCCAGCTATGTAATGGTTCGCCGAATTAGTTTGGGGAGTTCTCGCATTTAATTTTCTCTTCTTTTTCAAATAAAAATAGCTTATATCAACGGAATCAGTCTTTTGTCTCGTTTTCATAATAATTTTTTCTCTGCTTCTTTTCGAATCCGTTGTTCAGTAATATATCTTGGATAATTATTGTTTTCAACCGTCGAGACAACAATATCTAGTGCTAAATTCATAAATGGGTATCTAAAGATAAACATCGTTAACGGTAGTTGCCTTCTCTTGCTTGTAGCTTCGTCCATTAATGGTGACGCTTTTTTTTCTCATAGTTCATCATCGGTTAGCGCGCAAACGTGTCGTGAACTATTGATATTCCCCACCAAGTATGAGCCTATTTTACTAGATGGTTCGTGAGATGTAAGCGTTTCATTTCTTTCTCGTAAAATGCTAATAACTCCTGATCCAAGAGAGGTGAAAGCTTTTCCTAAAATGCAGCACTGCCTCTCCTCTATCTATGATATGAATTCGAAGTGTTCTTAATAGTTACTCTTAATAGTTACTAAGATACAACTATTTTACGATTGAGGGTCACTTTTGAAGTTTCAGACCCTTTTCCAAAAAAATTCATAACTTAGCCTAGGAATATTATTTTCACTTCAAAATTGCACCAGATACTCTAAAATGCCTTTAGATTATTCATACAAAGTATGAGAGTTAACTATTTTATGATTCGAGGTATTCGTTGAAAATGAGCACCCGCTATGGAAACATACATAATGCAAGGGTGAGGAACCAAGGGTCGTCCATTTTACCATATCTTCCGCGGTTAATGTTCGCCATAATCGTGTAAAAATATAGTAATGAATAATTAGGGAGAAAATATCGATAGGTAAAATATTGTCAAGAAGGCGTTGCACTCAACCTATTCCCCACTTATTTCATTTATTTTCCGTCTTTTTCACTTCTCAAATACTTGCAAGCAAAATTAATAACATACTAGAGATCAGCAGACAAAACTGCATCGTCGCATCTCGATATCTTTTTGCGGGCGCGAGTCATTCGGAAATCAAGAAACTTAAAAAAAGCGTCCTGAATTCGCGACTCTGGTAAACAAAGGGTTAATTCCTTGTGACGTATGGCTGTTGTTACCTGTCATGTTTATCGATATTTTTTATGTTGTTAATAAATGATATAGTTCATTCTCTTTCAATGAAGTGCTTCGGCAACAGTTAATAAAATTACTGTATCAGTCACTAAATTATTGCGCCTAAGTAAATTCATAATTAAATAGTTTCTTGTCTATAACTATTGAACATATATAGAATGGACTGAAAGGAAAAAATACTCAGTATCAGTAAAATCAGACAAAAAAAACAACTTTGTCAGTCTACTGTTGAAAAAAGTATAGATAACAGCGATAAATTGAGCGTTAATTTAATAAAGTACGCTGTTAATTAGTAAGCAGAAAATAGTTCCTCTCATATTATACGTAAATATATTCTGGTGTTTTTGTGTGTGTATCAATTTTAAGGATAATTGCTTGCTTTAATAACCGCTTTTCCAGTATTATCACCTTTGAATAAACCAGCAAACGCTTTCGGCATTTGTTCAAAACCATCAGTACATGTTTCTTTATATTTGAGTGTGCCCTGAAAAAGAGGTAAAAAATCTTGTTAACCGTTTCCCATTCTATATATGAGTTTTATTCAATGCTGTTCATTAAAAGATTACTTCTTCCATTGTATTACGATAAATGGAAAGAATGTTTTTAAAGATCGCAGCTTATCGAATCTGAACTTTATTCGTGCACATAGATCTTGTCTAGCTGACATATACGTGTAGGTGCACAAAATTTATGGAGTGAATGGACAGTATTTTCTATTTCTTTCATACTTCACCTAATTAAACAAGAGATCATAGTCGTCATCTGCGCATTAAACCATGCAACATAAAAATTGTTCTATGCATGTCTTAATTCATCAAAAATTTACTCACCATCCAATTTCTCACTTTGTCTGGGGATCAAAAGCTAGTTCTGTGCATTCTTTTTTCAGCGGAAACATTTTCTCTTAAAACTGTTGTAGGATAGAAGAATCCTTGTGGATTTTCACTCGATAAGAAATCCACCGGAACAAATTTTGTCTTGATGCACGAATCGATGCACAGATGTTCTGTGTGATTAGAAATTCTTAAACTTATATTTCGGTACATTATATATAATGACTGTATAGATTTTTATGTGATAACGTTGTAACAGTAAGGTAACTATTCTTGCATTAATCAATATACGACTGACTCCAAGACAGATTTTAAAAAATTACCTTTTTAATCATTTCTGCCATTTCGGCTTGTGCTTCTGGCCATTCATCTTGATGGGCCCAACCCAAAACACCACGTATTGTCATTTCTTTCAGAAATATTATCACATGGTTTTGTGGATCAAAAAAATCAAAAGAATAACGATGATTTAATGATAGTGTAAATTCTGCAAGGAGATTCCTGACTGCTCTGTTTAATATCAGAAAAAAAGAGGTTGACGCGCATCACCTCGAGCAATATTTTCAATACATTGACTTTCCAATATTCTCATTGTGGGACTTCATGCGGACATAAAAAGTGAAGCTGAGCTTTTACACATTTAATTAGTGGAAAATAAACTCGCATACATGGCTGTTTTTATCGTAAAAATGCTTTTTGCATCCAAAATAATTGATAATAAAATAATCGGGAATTTCAGTTTTTCTTACTATAAAGTATATTTTCAATCAAAACAAACATGACATTCGTACGTAGCTGCACGAAAAATGACTTCTAACAACAATTCCTCATATGTCAGACGAAAAATGTCCATTGTGTTCATGGAGATAGACTGACTGTATGGCTGATGAATATGATAGACGATTACATGTTATTTAAAATCATTTTTGCGATGCCTAGCATGGGACATTTCAGAGTTTCAGTTTATATCAATTTTCGGTCCTCAAAACTTTTCTTCATGAGATGTGAGACTATAAGGTAACCTTACATTTCTTGGATTCTTCATCTCTATAAGTTGAAATTGCACCGCAAATACAAATTCTTCCTCGTTTACGAATATGCTGATTAACCATTTCGTGATAAAAATCACCACCAACCTTTTTTGAGAAAATAAAGGGAGATAGCACGTTAGGATTAAATATAAAGTGTCACCAATCCAAAAATTTAGCGAGACTCTTGTCGGCTGTTTTTCATACTTGGATAGAGCTCACCGAGCTACCTTGGAAATTTTACTCTTTACAAAACGGTTTTTCTATGAAAAAAGTTTAAGAATATTCAAATTTTGAACATAGACAAAAGTAAACGAAGATTTAACCTTTATCATTGTCGTTATCCCTCAAAATAATTCTCTGCTAATTCTGGGCGAAACATTGAATATTGAAAAGCAGATTTAGTCGAATTTAACTTTGAAATGATGAGAAAATAACCCGAAAGGTGTCAAGTGTCCGTTTCAAGAGTTGTTGTCGTGCTCCAAGGATTTTCCTGTCAGTTTAAAGCTAAATTCGACGAAATCTGGTTTCTAATATTCAGCTCTTGATGAAGAATTAACAAAGAATTGTTTTGAGAGATAAAAGCAATGATAAAGGTTAGAATTTCGCTTATTTCTGGCCTGTTTTTGAAATTTTTTCCCGGAAAACTCGTTTTATGAAGAGTAAAATTGATGTATTCCTAGGTAATTCTATCCAACAATGACAAAAAAACCTGCTTGATTTTTCAATTGCCGACACCTTAAATAAAAATATTTCAAACATACGTTATCAAAGTAAAAGTCGACACCATCCGGGGCTGCTTCTTTTAATGCATCTGCTAATGATGTCTTCTTATAATTATAAACATAATCGCATTTTAAATCATTTTTTAACCAAGCAATTTTTTCTTCTGCACCCGCAAAAGCGATTACTTTTAAACCCTAATATAAAACAATAAAAACAAAGACCAGAATGTACATAATGTTTGTCGGCATGGAACGCCAATTCAAGTATAGAACCCTTTATATTATAGTAAATTTAGTTTTGGACTTAATAATTTTAGAATACTATACTGGAATATTTTTTCTTGTCTTGTATTCTGACAAAATAAAGCTTATATCAACTCTTTATATGTTTCTTTCAATTTATAGAATAAGTACATTCCTAGTGATCTATTTACAGCTCCCATATCATGTCTGTATAACAGTTTATTCTCTTAGTACAATGGGACTACCGTTGATTTCATGATGTAAAAAAATGCTAATGACTTCAGCAGCGTTGACAACGTCTACTATAGCTGATAATAAGCCAAATTCACGGGCATTTGTCAGCTCGAATGAATATCTTACTTTCCTTCTATCAATATTTGATCAACAAGAGGCAGGATTTTTTTTCTTCAGAAGTTATGAAGAAATTTCAAAATCGATCAAGTATCAATCTTTTAATCGAAGTGTTAACTCTTCCGACTATTCGTTAGGAGAGCAAACTGCGAACTGTATTGGAGATTTTAGGACCTATACTGCTACATTTTATTTATTATGGAAAATTCCGATTGTCTCAGAAATCAGAGAGTTTACTTACACTAGATTCTGAGTTTTTTGGCGGATTTTTAGCATTTTTATTACAACTTTGTAAAACAAAGTTTTTGGAAATAAAAACTTCCAAGATAAAATCAATAAACTACCCAAAACTTTTAATCGAATCGAATAAAATTTTATCGGAGAAGGATTATATTTTTGTCAGACAAAGTAATTTTTTTCAGCCAGCAGTCTCCATAAGTCTAAGGCAATTGGGAAACTCTTCTCAGTAATCATAAATTCTCCGTTCTTTAAACTGACAAACCACCTTTACAAGGATTTAATATTAAACGTATCACTTCCTACATTCCAAACTTTCAGAGGAAATTTTGCATAATGTAAAGCAAAATTCGTCAAATTGACAGTTAAGACTATGATGCATATTTTGCTATTAATCTCAGATCTGGAGCACTTATCCTTAGCTGATTTTAGCTATTTTAGCCATTTCGAGAAAATGCTTTTAATTGAAAATCTATAAACTTTTAGTCTTAAATAGAAAACGTTGGAAAATTCACGCCTTGCTAAACAACAAGATAATCGAGAGTGATCTAATTCTGTAAAGGATTCTTGACACTGCAAGATAGTATGCCTATATCGAAATTGATATCTTCTTTTCTTTCCTTAGACGACATTGACATCAGTGATAAAAAGAGAATGTGTCAAAGTAAATTGCTATGTAGAATTGACTCGACAATGCATCAAAAAATGCTTACGGGAACTTAACGCTAGCAAAACACGAGAGATTCCATCAGAATAATCATCATCAAACATATGATATATTTCTTAGGAAAGAAAAACTGCATCTTTTATCTAACGTGTGTCCCAGAATAAATTGCACTGAATCTTGGTGTATTTTTCTTTCACTTTCTATTCATAAATAAAGTTCCTTAATATGACAAAAGATAGATAATTTGGAGCTCTGCGAAATTGTGTAGTCGAATTTTTAAAATCTTCTTTCGAACAGCACTCAGCGCTCCAACGTACACTTGATATCCCTACTGCAACTCTAAAAAGCGCAAAAGAACGCGTTGCATCGCTAGTGAAAGATCCATTGAGTTTCTCGACAAAGAGAAAATTTCTTCATGAAATCCTCTATCGTTCTGGTTATGTTTCAAAGTTTTTAAAGAAAATTTCAGGTGAAAAGTTGGGAAACAAAAACAACTAAAAAAGGCAATAAACTGAATTTTTCACCAGTATTTGTGACTACTGAATTTTTCGTGAATTTCATCAGAAACGATGTTGCACTCTCATTCATGAATCCCTTTGTCTCGTAGAGAACAAATTTCTGCATTTTTTGTTGCAAAAATAAAAACTTCGCAACTGAACTTTACTTTAAAAAACTGAAGTCACCATGAAAAGTATTTCCCATTGACTTTAGATGCCGTAATTCGAAATTGACTTTGATAGATAGAAGACAGAATTCCCTATCTTTTGATATAAAAGTCTTTGCTTTGAGGATCCAATTTTATAATGCTGCATGCTTTGTAAAAGCACGAGCAACGACGCGTCGCAGTTAGATTTTACAAGGGATATCAGTGCTTGGATTACTGCGCGTCGGAAAAAACTTGTTTCCTAAATTCACCTAAACAGTTTTGCAGAGCTTGAAATTCTTTATCTTTTGTCATATTAAGAAGAGTTTTTATGATTCGTAATTGACAGAAAAATGCACCAAGATTTGGTGCAATTTATTCTGGGATATCCGTTAGTATTCTTCTACTGACTACTATCGATTGTTTCAATTGATAATGTTGAACATTACCTTAGCTTTTGCTAATTGTACAACAACACTTCCGACGGCTCCAGCTGCTGCTGTAACAACACAAATTTCACCAGATTTCAGTTCACCCATCTTAACACCAAAATAAGCAGTCATCCTAAAAATTATTACTTTAAGATACGTTCTAAGAGGTATTGATGATTTTACTTACCCGGGCATTCCTATAACGCCCAATGTTATTGATGGTGATAAATTTCCAATATCAAATAACAACGGGTTCAAATCTTTTCCATCTTTCGATATAAAATGTGTACGCCAGCCACTCATTGAAGTAACCAATGTACCAACTGGATACTGACCATTTCGACTTTTAATTACTCTAAATTAGACATTCACCGTATATTGAAATTGAATATGTTTTCATAGCATACTTTGATACAGCTTCACCAAACATTGTATTATATTTACCAAACGGTTTCATAAGATCGTCACCCGGAATTCTAAAAAAAGAATCAAGGGCCACAGGATAAGAATTTGTCAATTCGCATTAACCTACCCCATGTAAGGATCGATACTTAAGAAAACAGCTTCGCATAAAACTTCTAAAAAGAAAACACAAAAAATTAAAGCTAGAAAAGTATTGAATCGATTTTGTTACAATAAAGTAGTCTATTTGAATAAAATTTTAAGAATTCGTAATTGAAACAAATTCTTAATATTACTATACACTATATATTACTTGCATTCTTTAAAAAATAGTATATCACCCGCTCGAAAAATTTCAAAAATACTTCTCTGATGAAAACTATCTTGCAGATTTGGATTTTCCGCCATCTATTGCTTTGAATACAACAGATATTTAGTCAGTATACTCTCAAAAACATTGTGAGGAAAAATTTTGAGAAAATTTAGGAGTGAATATTTATGTGGAGGAATACAGCAAAGAAAAAACGTCTAATTTCGGGCACTTTTTGAAGACTCTTTCTCAACTCCTGTTTGTACTCTTATTTTTGAACGTTTTTCCGGTCAGCTTTATTGCTATATTCTTTTCTCATAAAAACAGAAGTTTAAAGTTTATAAAAAATCTTCAGTTCAGTTTCGACTGCTCTGTATACTGGCTTGACCTGCTAATACGATCCACATTCCTAAAAATGAGTTGTATCCGAGTGCAGCTAGTGCATTAAATTGATTCATCGCTATGAATTTAAGCGGTAAGCTTTTTCAAAGGACGATTCTTTTAGACTAATTATTACCTTATGAACTCTTTTCTCACTATGATTTTTGGGCTGACGCTTTCGTCTCTACGCCTTTCTAACGGTATTTACCCTGTAGACGCTTTTCTTTTGCCGTAAAAATTTTGAAAATTATGCCCCCCAGTCATAATTGCTGACAATAATAGAAAGGAGGTAAGTCACCGTAGATTTCAGTCTGTTAGATACCGTATGAGTGCTTCCTCTTCCTTCGGTACAGACAAGACTTCTAAGAAGAAGCGTATGCCGTAGAGTGGGGCATCATTTTTAGTTATAGCAAGTACAAAGCCTGTATATGCACCTTTGTGCGAAAGTGCTCTGTGTACACTCTGGCAAGCTTTTTCTAATCACCAGTTCTGGCATTTCTGTTTAAACAGCAACCCTCCATTCAAAGAAACGCATGCAGTAAGCTAAGCGATAGAAAACGATATTTTGAAACATTAATCACTCATTGGGGTGTACGATGATAGAGTTCCATGGAAAGGAAGTCTTTAAACAATAACGGGGGAGAAGTAAAATCCACAACCCACAGAGAGATTTCTCAACTGATTTTTCTATGGCAATCTGCTGAATTCGTTTGACAATGCCCGTTAAGAAGGGCTTAGTTCATGAAGTTCTAATGAACCTGGCGTATTAGACTAAACGAAAAAACATACGGAATAAGAAAAGAACAGCTCTGCTCAAACACTAAGTCCAGTACTCGCAGATACTGTGCTCGACTCTGAGCCTGCAGGTTACATAATAGCCCTAAAGTTACTGATGCTTGTGGGCCTCTGATCACTCAGTTGATATAGCATCATAATCGTCATATTGTATTAACAATAGAGTTCTTCAAGTTTCCCAGAAAGTTTGTCCACGTGTAGGATGACCTGAAGCAATTGGAAGAAAGATAACACAATCAGTAGCATCTTGCTTCGTCACTGTTTAATATCGTCTGAAGACCCCTTGTTTCTTACCTCCATCTTTAACTTCATCATTAAGATCTTCTTCAACTAATTTAAAGTCATCTTCTTTTGGTTTTCCTTGAAATTCCTTTACTTTACTCCAATGGCGAGCTTTAACCATTGTTCTTTTGACAATATTCCAATCGAATGTAGATTATTTCAGAATAAAATATATCTATTAAAGACAACACCTAGCATTTGAATTATCTTTAGAAGATATGACCTAAATAAAACAAATGATTTGAGAAACATCAGTGCAGATTTCGCACCTTCAATATATCTAATAGCCCTATCGGATATTAACATTTGTTTTAAAATAACTTGAAAACATGTATGTGTGTCTCTTTTAGATATCCTATGATCTGCTCACTTGTACAGACCAAACTTCACCATGCGTAACATGTAAGTATAATCACACACCGCAATAATATATGCTTATAGAACTTGTTCACAAATGACGTGACGACTTGAACAGGTAAGGCATAGGTACATCGTGGTGAAGGGTCTGAAGGTTTGAATGCAAGTAGAAAAGTTCATATGTACAATAAATCCAACAGACATTCTCTGCTCATTGTATATATCAGAAACTTCGACATTGAAAGAGATCGTCAACTATCTGAATTGTTTTCTTCCTGTACTGTGTGATTTCGCTGTGCTTTTTCGGAAATACCATTAACTACCTTTACAATGCAAACGCAAACGTGTAGACGAAAATGAAACAATTTTAGAACTTTCAAAAGGTATTAGTTTATTATTCTACAACAGCCCAACGAAAATAAATACTGAGAAGGAACTATCAGGAATAAGTTTGGAATCCCAAATCTCAAAGTAGCACTTATCTAAAAAATCTTTTATTTCTTTGACATGGAAAAATTATTCTTTGATATTTTTACACAATTTGATAGAGCTCGATGAGCTCTACAAAACTATGTATTTCAAAAATACTTTGAGTCATCTTTTTCAGATAAAAAGTTCGAAACTGCTTGGAAAATCATAACAGATATTTGAAAACTTTACTTTTTCATATGGAAGAAAAACACTCGATTTTTCAATAAAATAAAGTTTTATTTGCTGTCTCAAACGTTTCCAAATGTGCCATTCTATGCAGTTTTTCACGCGGCATCGAATGAGCATATTTCAGAATGTCTCAGCTAACATAACTAATGAAAAAGACTAATGCTATTGAAAAAATTGAATGTTTTTTTTCATATGAAAAAAAGATAAAGTTTTTGAGATTTGTCCTGTGGTTTTTTGAATTTTTTTACGCGAAAAGATCACTGTTAAGCCCGGTATACGTTGTTGTGTATAAGTAATTTATTACTGAACAAGATGATCTTTACATGAAATTAGGAGCTATTTATACCTGAGGTTAAACGGAAACGGTGGGTTATAACCCAGAGCTAAA